AGTGTCCCATCAACCAAACTTTCAAACCTGAAAGGAAATAAAATTAGTTGCGAGGAGACAAATGCCCCCCCCCCCTTTCCCAATTTCCTACCCAACGCTTACTTACACCAGCCTGTCAGGCCTCACATACGTGCGGAACCGCATGGATTCCCACCTCCCGATCCGCTTAATCCGCTCGTCCCCCAAACCAAGGCGTGCTGCCTCCGTCGCTGCGCCTATGCGGAATGAGTGCGTCCCAAATTGCTTGGGCTCCAAGCCCAGCCTCTGTAAACCCGCTCGAAAAACCCGCAGAAATTGGAAGCGGGACAGCGCCGTCCCATCAGCATGCAGGAAAAAACTACCAGCCATCCCGGGACGGACATCCAAGTACCGCGCCCCGCAAGCCACCGGGCACGCCCTTGAACCCGGTAACTCATACAACACCACAGAGCACCCTTTACCAAACACGTCCGTTTTAGAGCGGCGCAACCTGATCCGCACCCTGTCGTTACATAAGTCCACGTCGTCGAGCAGCAATCCGACGGCCCCTTTCCTGTTGGGGCTCACCAGCTCGCCAATCCGGAAGGCTCCGAAGAACGCCCATACAAACGCTCCCGAAAATAGCGCCACCTCAAAAGGGGAATGACACAACCCAGCCAACACTCCTAACAACCCTTGCAACACCGAGAACGACACCGGTCTTCTCGTGTCCCCAAACTTCTTACCCTTCCGAAAACCTCGTATCGCCTGACGTATCATGAAATTCTTAGTAATGTCCTCCCACCCATTGAACTTAAATAAAAAGGCCAGGGCAGACATATACCTGTCCACCATGGCCGGCGAAGCCTGTCTTGAGAACAGGCGACACAGCAACCATAGCAGCACGTCCCCCCGCTGCTCCTCCGAAAAAACGCCTCCTACCTGTTGAACTGTCTCCTCCCATTCCTTCCAAACCTTAACATACGACGACCACGTGCTTGGCGCCAATGAGTTCCTTATGTACTCCCCAAGCATGACGTCCCGAGCCGCCACATCTCGTCCGGGCATGCTTGCCCCATCTCCTGGGCGTCTGGCGCCGCTTCCCGGAATCGTTCCCACTGAAAACGAGAAAGCGTATCAGCCACCACATTCAACATACCAGGGATGTGCTTAGCCCTAAACACCACATTGAAGGACATGCAAAGAAGTACAAACCGCCGCAACAAACACAAGACCGGGGGGGAAGACGCAGACAAACTGTTTATCGCCTGCACCACAGACATGTTATCCGAGTGGAACACGATGTGCCTGTTTGCCAACGCCGGCCCCCATAAGCCCATCGCAACCACGACCGGAAATAATTCCAAAAACGCCAAATTCCTTATTAGCGGGCTTTCTTTCCACGCTGCAGGCCACTCCTCAGCGCACCAATTACCCGCAAGATAAGCCCCAAAACCGACACTGCCCGAAGCATCAGTGTACAGCCCCACCTCTGTTGCCGCCGCCGGGTCCCTAAAGAACACCTTACCATTAAAATCCTGTAGGAACTGGTCCCACACCCTTAAGTCCGCCTTCATATCCGCTGAGACCCTAACGTAGTGCGATGGCCAACGCACCCCACTTGTCGCACGTGCCAGTCGCCTGCAGAAAACCCTCCCCATTGGTATCACCCGGCACGCGAAGTTCAGGCTCCCCACCAATGATTGAAGCCCCCGCAGCGTCACCTTCTTAGCCCTCCCTACCGTGGCCACCCGCTCCCTCAGATCCACTAGTTTGTCTGAAGGTAACCGACATTCGCCTCTCACGGAATCGATTTCCAACCCCAAAAAACTAAGGCACGTTGTGGGCCCAACCGTCTTGTCTCCCGCCAAGGGAACCCCGAAAGAGTGTGCAACCCAGTGAAACACTTCCAGCACCTGTCTACACCGGCCCGTTCCCTGCGGGCCGACACAGAGGAAGTCGTCAAGATAGTGCACCACCGCACCCCCTGCCGATTCCTTCCGCACCACCCATTCCAAAAACGTGCTAAATTTCTCAAAATAAGCGCACGATATGGAACAGCCCATTGGTAAACACAGATCCACGAAATAACCCCCATCAAGATAGCACCCGAGCAAATGATGGCATTTGGGGTGTATAGGGAGCAGCCGAAAGGCTGCCTCCACATCCACTTTCGCCA